TTGTGCTCACCCTCATATTGATTCATTACCGTCCATACCACAACCCACTCAAGCAAGCCCCGGGCATTCGAGTGGCTTAGGCCCACTTAGGCTTGTAGCGTGGTTGGGTGTGTAATAATGATTTCCTACTTGACATGACATGTCGCTTGGCATGGCATATCGCTTGGCATGCTTTTAATTATTATGCTTGACGGGATAATTAGCATGGATTTGTAAAGATAATGCATTTTATAATCTTAATCTCGATTCCTAGATTGGCGGATTATTTATTTGGCATGGCGCGTGGAGTGTGACTTGTGCATGGCGGACTTTTGTGTGCTCCAAGTCGGGTTTTTTCTCAATAACGTATTGCGCTGGGCCGAGAATTCATTTGGGCCAAGCCGTTGATTTTTTTGGGCCTCAACACCAACCTATACTTATAAAGACTTTTTTTAAGTGAGTGATGTTCATAGAGTTGACAAATTCTTAAATACTTTCATAGAGTTTATAAAAGTCACTAGTAAATTGGCAAAACTTTTGCTATTAACACTTAGCCTTAAACTTTTGCTAATAACTTTTGCAAAAGTTATTAATTTAATAAGCTTTTTAAAATTCATTAAGTTTTTGGATAGCACCAAACTTTTAAAGATTTTTTAAAAGTCACAACTAGATACCACCAAACTTCTAAATACTTTTAACTACTTTTTAAAAGTCACAGTTGGATACCACTAAACCTATTTAAAAGTCATAGTTGAATACCTCAATGGAGGCGGCAATGGATTCGACATAGAGTCGGCAATGGATTCGTATTGGAGGCAGCAATATATTCGCAATGGCGGCGGCGATGGCTTAGACATGAAGGTGGCGATGGATTCGACATGGAGGGCGAGATGGATTTGACACGAAGGAGGTAATGGATTCGCAACAAAGGCGATGAGAGATTAGACATAAAGGCGGCAATGGATTCACAACGGCGAAGGGATGGATTCGACACAGAGGCGAGGATGGATTCACATGGCAGTGGCGATGGCTTCACTACTACAATATCTGGCTTTGGGCACCTATATTTTTTTGTGCTCTTTGACCCAAAAAGGCACAATTATTCATGCTATATGATAATTGACACGGTGCAACAACAATAAATAAGTCAATTTCCTATATAGGAGTTTCCATTAGTTAAAATTCACTTTTTTTCTTTTTTGTGCCCTAAAACTCAATGCTTTTGGGCACATATATGACATTGTGTGGCATTGTACTAACAACATCGATTGTTGCTTCTGATGTGACTTTGCACATACACACGAATCATTCATTCATGTCCAATGTAATTGTTTTTTTAAAAAAAAAAAAAAAAAAAAAAAAAAAAAAAAAAGTCACTTTTGGTCCCTGTGGTTTATCACTTTTACCACTAAGGCCCCTGTTGTTTCAATTTCGTTAATTTTACCCTTGTGATTTCAATTTGAAGCAATTCAAGGACAACACTCAATTTCTGTCAAACTTTCTTAACTTCTAATACTTGTGGAGGGGCAATTCAGTCCATAAATTTAAAAAAAAAAAATTCATTCCTTTTAAAATTAAACAATACAAATATAAATTTATATAAAATAATTTTAAAATAAAAATAAAACCTCTCCATCCCTACCCTTCTCCTCTCAACCTACCAACAGTCACCACCCAATCTCAGCCAGCCACCACCTCCCTGTAACCCAACCACCATCTGAGCCACCCAAGCCCGCCCCATCCCCAAACAACCAAATTACTTAAGAACCAAACCATACTCAACAACTTGACTTCACACCATACCATTGCCGTCGGAGAACAAAACGAAGAGAAAACAAACCTAGACTTCACAGCAAACCAGATTAACCCCTCTCCCCCAACTTGGATCCAGCCACTTCTCAACAAACCAGATTAACCCCTCACCATAATGAAACCACTTGACCTGTAACCCAATTTCCAAAGATTTGGTTTTGTTTGTAAGCTACTCAAACACCAGGCAAGATCTCAACCCAGCCTATGATTTTGATGAAACAGATATCATAGACCCAAGGACCTTTGGCTCTTCCAACTCTAGTAGCCTGTGCTTTTGGTTAGAGAAATATGACTGGGCCCAAATATTCATTAAAGTTTGTTTGAGTTTGATGAATTAGAGAAGAGGGCAGAGAGAGAAGAATGATTGACAAAAAATTTGGTTGTTTGGGGCGATTTGGTTGGTTGGGGAAGGGGTGGGCTTGGGTAGCTGGGGTGGTGGTTGGGTTACATGGAGGCGGTGGCTGGCTGGGGTTGGGACTGTTGGTTTGAGAGGAGAAGGGAAGGGAGAGGTTTCATTTTTATTTTAAAACTATTTTTATATAAATTTATATTTGTGATGTTTAATTTTAAAAGGAATGAAATTTGTAAAAATTTGTGGACTGAATTGCCCCTCCATAAGTAATAAAGGTTAAGAAAATTTGATATAAATTGAGTACTGTCCTTAAATTGTTTCAAATTGAAACCACAGGGACCTTAGTGGTAAAAGTGATAAACCACAGGGACCAAAAATGACGTTTTGCAAAAAAAAAAATTATATTTGCAAACAAAGAAAAAAGAAAAAACTTAAACTACATATTTTCTCTCTCTCCACCACAACCACCTATATTCTCCCTTTCTATTTCTCAACCACCACCACATCAAATATCCCTCTACATCTAAACAACAGCCTCTCTCTCTCTCTCTCTCTCTCTCTCTTTCTCTCTCTCTCTCCAACATCTCCACCTCCTACACCCAGCAACCTAACCCCAATTTTCAGATTGCAACCTCAATACCCACCATATAATCGAGCCTTATAACCATCAGCCTCTGCCAATTGCCTTCTTTCCCTAAACTAGCCATGTGCCTTCTTTCCTTAAACCAACCCAATACTTGTGAGGGTGCAGGCAAGGATTAAAATATTGGCCGTGCAGATAATATCGGGCCTCCAATTTATAGATATTTCGAGGGATATATCGTTATCGTTTTAGGTATCGGGAAAAAAATCAACAAAAAGAACAGATATAGGCATTGAAACACATAATTTTGGTGTAAAACTTTCATAGATGTTATGTACATTATCAATGAATGTATTGAACAAATAAAACTCAAAATTTACTAATAATAAAATATACATTGATGAAATATAAGTGCAATGTAATGCGCATTAATCAAAAGTT